CCCCTCCCCCCCTCTGAAAAGCAATGGAAAAAAAATATTCTCAGGCGAAGATTAAAATAAAAATAAAAATAGGGTGGAATTTAAAACATATGACAAAACGTTCCTTAGCTCAATCTTAAAGCAGATAACGAAAAGTTACGTCTGCATTCCAGACAGTATCTAAATGAATTTCCTATCCTGTATTTGAGTAGTTTATATAATACATTAAAAAGACTACCTTTACATTTATAACAGATTTTACCAGTTAGGGGGCAATCAGGAAACAGAAGCACGCTAGGTATTTAAGAGAGGAGTCTTGAGAGTTTATGTGTGTTTGTATATATTACAAAAGGCCTCTTTCAGTGCTTTAAATTTTAATATTTTAATTGATTTATAAATGGCCTATCTAGGTAAAGAATATTAGATTCAAAAAATTTTTTTTAAATTATCAGTCTTGAAAGTTAATGATGATAAAAATCTCTGCCTCTGTGTATTACTTATAATTTCTTAATATTTCATTTATTTGCAAAAACTTACCCAGAACATGTAAAGCATTCATTCCTTTGAATGCTCCCTTTTGTATTTTCTTAACTTTATTATTATGAATTCTGAGTTCTGCTAATGATTTGGGAAGATTAAGTGGTATTTCATTTAGTTGATTGTGGGACAGATATAATCTTCTCAACTTCTTTGTGGTTTGAAAGGCTTTTGGATGAATCTTTGTTAGCTTGTTGTTGTTCAGGATCAAAGCCTAGATGAAGCATAGAAAGTTACACCGCATTAGGGCATGGGTTGATTTACCAGTTCTATAGTGGTCAGTCACTCATGGCAATATATGCAAGTTACATCATTTTCTGTACTTGATTAACAGTGTAAATAATTCCTCAGCCCAATATCAACTAAATATATTTTACTCACTACTGAATTGGAACAGTGCAAAGCTTTAATGATTGGTTTTGTGTCTTTGGTTTATCTTTTAGTAGGTGATGTATTCACTGGTTGAGGACCCCTCCAGTTTCCACTGCCCTTTATGGAAGTGGTTGATGGTATTATCTTTATATTACCTTAAAATCTGTTCACTTTACAAAATTAAGTTTAACCTCACTTTCATGTTTCCTAATGTTTACCATTTTTCCTAGAATATAGACCTGTCCCAGTAAACTCCTACAAAGTGCCCTCAGACATATTTAAGACCTTGGGGACACAGTGGCGGGTCCTGAGGAATGACTCAGCCTTTTCTCAGTTCTGTGGTTATTTCTCAGTGTGACCTGGCAGCAGCCTTTAGCGGAGACACCAGCTGAGAGTAAAAGAACTTGTAGCATAGTGGCTCTGCCAGCCTCTTTGTGCCCAACCCCTTCGCACCCTGTGGAGGGTGCTGGCTGCTGCTCTCGGTCCCCTGGGATATCGGAGCTTCAGAATCAAAACTGGGAAGGCGCTTGGCCGCCAGGCTTGTCTCTCACCCTAGTCGTTATTTCCTCTTCAGAATGGACATGGCTTAGGCCTTGTTTCACGCCCAGGGTTTGCAGCGGTGTCTCCCCAGGGCGGTGGCAGGTGGTTTAACATTTCTTAGGGCTTCTCTCCCTCTCTGCTAATTTAGGCCCTCTCATTCTCTCAGGGCAGCTGTGATTCCTTCCATGCATTTTGTCCCTGGTCCCATTCCGCAACAATCTTCCATAGTTCCCAGACTGAGTTAATATGCCTTTCTGGTGCTATTCCTGTGGTTGGTATTGCACAGAAGAAATACCAATAAATGCTTTGTCAGTTAAACTCCCTTTATTATGTTCACTTATTTCTGTGTCGGCCCTTTTATTGCTCTTCTTTCAGACATAACAGTGCTGTTAAGTTTTTACCTGGGAAAAGTTGGGCCTAGGAAAACAGATGAAACTGCAGTTGCTACCAAATGGTAAAATGTGCTCCTTTCTGAATGTGTGATGCCAGTTAAGAGTTTGTTCTCTTTTCCTTTGGTTATGGTGAAATGTGGGGCCAGGCCAGGGGAGGTAACAACTTGATGAACCTTTCTCAACCCCATGAGGTCAATTTTGCAAAATTATTTCTTTCCTTAGTGCTGAGGAAATGGGCACAGTGAAGAAAAGTGACTTGCCCCTGTCTGGCCCATCCTCACTGCCCTCCACACTTTGCTCTCCTGTGTGTACACTTCCTGCCGTCCGCCAGCCACTGTAGGAGCCCTGAGGGAATGTGTGCCTCCCTTAGATCCATCCATCCTTGTCTCATCCCCCTCTCTGGTTGAGACAAGCAGTTGTCAGAGCTTCATAAAAGGATTTATAAGTAGTATAAAATGGGCTCAGAGTTTTTATATAGTGCCATCAAATGCTGCCCAGCAAGTTAGGTGAGCAGATTGTCTCCAGTACACCGTACTTTCAGTGTTGGCTTTTACATGATAATTCCAAAAATGGTAGCCACAGAGCCCAGACAGTGCAGTTCTGGGTAAGGCCAGAGGATGAGAAAAGTACAGCCTGTTAGAAGTAGGCCACTACGAGGATGTGGCTGTAACAACAGGCTGAGTGGACTTTGTGTGTGCAGTGATCTCACTCTTCCTCAGTGTTACATTGTCCTCTGTGTAAGAACCACAGCGCTGAACAAGCAGCTGAAACATAGTATAGAGAATTCACAGAATATCTAAAAACATTTAAATTTTATTTAAAGGTAGGTACAGATGGTACTATAATTAAATAAATGTTTTGAAATATACAGTGTGCCCACAATTCAAGTATAAAGTATATTCTTTAAAAAGTACTTTACTACATTGGCCAGTCTGGAAACAGACTGATGGCAATAATAGTTAATGGTTGGGTGCTGAGCACCTTGCATGTATGCACTCATCTAGTCTAAATAACTATTCTGAATTCCATGCTGTTGTTATACCCCTTTTACAACTGAAGAAGGTTAGGCTCAGAGAGGTAAGCCACCTTCCCAGTGTAAACTTCTGGTGGAGCCAAGATTTGAGCCCAGTTCTGCCTGGCTGTAGAATGCTCACCTCCAATACAGTGCCACATAGAAACTGATGAAAAGAAAATTAAGGAGGCCTAAGACGGCTCTTGTCATCTTTTTTATTCTTATTGCTCAATGATTAACAGGGGTACATGTGGGGTAAGTCCCTGGAATACTCCTAAAATGTAATAAACAATGCTATGACAAATTAAAAACTTTTTATGGTTTTGGTATTAGATGTGATGTTAATTGCTCTTGTGGTAGTATAGCTGAATGTAGGTCGAAGACATGGTAGAAGCATTCACAGGCTGTATTTCCAACTCATGAGGGTGGAATACTGGCCTTGCTATTCTCCAAAAGTTTCTGTGTCTGAAGTTAGTACAGTAGACTAGATGGATCCTCAATGGAATCCATCGTGCCATTTTTCTGATTGTTTTAATATTTAAGTGAGGGCTCAGTTATACGATATAAATATATGCTCTTCCAGTTTCTCTGCCTCTCTCTCTTGTGTCTCTCTCTTATATATGGAAACTATGGTGTATATGAAACTTAACCAAATCTCAGCTCTCTGCATGGGACATTTGAAAGAAGGGAGTGATCAAGGCCTCACAAGCCCAGATGCCTGGAAGTGCAGAGAAGAGAATGACTTTGCAGGGAGGCTGACTTGGCTTTTTTCGGGTGCCATCCCTTACAGGCAGGCTTGGTGTGAGGACTGAGCAAGAGAGCCTAGTAAAGAGCATCCCTCGTGGTGCCTAGAACATGATCAGCCTGATTGTTGTTCTTAGTAATCCTGCTGACTCACAGGTGCTGGTTTGCGTAATGAGACTCAATAGTCCTCCTTTCCTGCTGCTGGGACGCATCGTAGGCTCCACGCACTGACCCAGGGGTAACAGGTAGGCAGGGTGGCCTCAAATCTTTTAGCTAAGGGAAGAGAGCAGGCCTGCTTGGGTGGCAGCAAGAGACATGTGGTTTTGGTGCCTCTACCTTGTCCTCTGCAACTTCCCTGCAGTTGACAGGCTTTGCATTTTTTCTCTCCAGCACAGTGTGAGAATGTGGAAAATGGCCTGGAAGAGCTGTATTGGCTGAATACTATGCTGAGGGGAAGAGATGATACCCCATGCCTGTGACAGTATGGAGTCAGGCTCTCCCCTAAACTGAATTGCAATTAAATTAGAAATTTTACTTGCTAAAACCTAGAGTCTCAAAATATTAAAAAGAGAAATAAAAATCTTTTAAATCTTAGAAAATGAAAATATTCGATACAGTAAAGAAATTTTTTTTTCACCTTTAAAGGTCTAGGAAAAAAGCCATGCAAATATATATTGTCAGATATATTGCATGTGCTACTGCTAGACATTTCTGGTGCCTTAAGGTAAATCAGTTGGTTTCGGTAAGGATTTTCTTAGCACTGTATGTTAATGAGTTCCTGTAAATAATCATAACCTTATTCTTTTTAGTGTATAGTGCTGTGATTACCTAAACAGATCATAAGCTCATTTAAGGACAATTTACTTAATTCTTAGCCCACTGCCTTTCACCTGGCTGTTTATAGTAAACATCAGTTGAATTAAATCTATAATTTTTCATTAACTAGAACATGCTGAGTAGCAGGCTTTTTGTCGTTCACACAGAAAAGTAAGACTGGTTTACATAAACACAACACAGTTATTTTAGCATTGATAGAGATTTTTGCTTAAATATTTGAAAATATGAGCACATATTCTTACATAAAGTGAAGTGAGTCCTTTAAAATCATTTTCTTTGATTTCCTTAATTTTATTGTTTTGAAGGTCAACCATTCGAGTATCCAATGGAATGTTGCTTGGGACAGAGGACAAACCTGAGAAATAAACAAAAGTTACATATACCCTATGTGCTGAAGAGGAGATGCTAATACCTTAGAAATGTTCATTGTTGTTAGAAGTACATGGTTACCATTAAGTAACAGATGACTTATCATGTAACACATGACAAAAATATTGTTCTTTGGAAAGGCCTAGAGACCTTTCCCAGTAATTTATTTTTACAAGGTGTCTGGCTGGGCCTGGCTGTCACTGTGGGACTGATGCCAGGCGACCTGGAATAGAGGGCCCTTCAGCATGCCATCGTGACTGCAGGAAAGGGTCCAGCGGCTGCTGTGTGCCCTTCCGGCTGAGGAACATTGCTGCTTGTTGCAAATTTTCAATCTGTTGTGGTACTAAATTGGAACCTGTGGGTTTTGATCATTTTAAGAATGATCTTTGTGTAGGTACTCAATAAATGTTAATTAAATTATTTTTCCCTCTTGGAATCAAAAACAGAAAAGAGCAGAAAATCACCAGGAGCTGTACCTGGTGCATATCTTCCTTTCTTTGCTATTCCTAGATGGCCGAACATGACTGTCCCTGCTGGTCCTCAGATTTTCCATACAGTAGTTACGCTCGATGAGCATGGGGTCTTGTATTTTCCCAATATTTTATTGTTCAAATGTAACATAGAAAAGCTGACAGAATTTTACAGCGGAAATCCATATTCTCTTTGTACCATCATCATTTTACTATACTGTCTGTCATCTCATCTTCTATGCATTTTAAAGTGAGCTTCAGGTGCTGGTGCACTTTTGGCGGAGCCCTCCTTACTCCTGAAGAGTAGAGTTCTGTTAACAGCCCCAGTGGAGGAATTCAGCCTCTGAATATTGGAACTGTCAGCCTGTCACTCCACAGCCTTCCCTCCAACCTTTAAGACTAACAGCCCTTTTAAGAACTTGGACCATAGATGGGAAAAGAGAAAGGGGTTAGTAACTTGATGGGCTAACAAGGTAGCGGTTTTGTTAGGAAGCCCTGCAGAAGGGCCTGGTGACACAGACTGACAAGCTCTCCCCCTCTACTCCTGATGACACTGGGAGCTCTGAAAAGAATCTCATTCCTCAGGGAGAAAGAGCCACAAGTACCCAAGCTCTTTCCATTGTCTGTGGTCACAGGGAGGTGTGAGAGGTGTCAGTTAAAGGCATGTGCCAGTACAGGTTTTTATTTGGTAAGCTAAATATTCAGGAACACACTGTTTGCAGCCAACTGCCTGTCTTGAGTAGTGTGGTTTTTCTCAGTTCTTTGGTGGCAGTCGTGCACTGGAGCAGAGCAATGCAGTGTTCTTCCCGCCTTCCCATAGGGGCAGATGACCTGCTGGGGAGTGAGGGTGCGGCCTCAGCTAAGGACAGCTGTGCTGAAGACTGGTATCTCCTCAGTCACAGCCTACCCTGAGCCAGCCCAGTTTATGGCCAGCTCTGTTAGAGTTCACACGGCATTTTTGTTTTGTTTTACCAAGTGTTTCCACATACCGCAACTCTTTAGGCTAAGGTTAGAGTTGTGTTTCTTGCCTGGGTGCAGCTTACAAATGACAGTACATCCTGATGTTTCCTAACTGTAACCGTCTCTCACAGCAGGTCTGTCTCAGCCTCTGCACTTCTCCTTCCTGCTGCTCTTCCCACACTCATCCTGCATGTGCTTCTAGACTAGCTTTTCTCAAATATTACTTCAGCTTATCACCTTATCACCTCTTTTCCACAACAGTGCCAAAGGTAAAGCTTAAAAACCATTTTTTCCTAACCTAAATATTCCATAAGACTTTCCCACTGATTCTAGCTCATAGTCTTTCTCTGAATGCTTTCTGTTCACCTTTGTCATTTGTCCCTTAATAGCACACTGTACTAAAGTCTCCAGAGTGGGTTGTAACAAGCTTTGACTCGCGCCATAGATTCTGGAGCAGTAGGCAGTGAGTCTAAACTTTTCAGAGGCACCGTGTATGCATAAGCACTCTGCAAGTGGTCCTCGTGGGCCTCCAGCCCCTACATGGGGGTGGGGTGCAGACCTTGTCTTCCTACAGTGTGGCGCATTTGAGTCACCCCCTCATTTGGAAATAGCTAAATACAGCAACTCTTGATGTAAATTTCCATCACACCCTCTTTTTGAGCAGGGCGTGAATGTGCCCTTCTGTTTGAGAACACCTTCACTAAAGTATTAAAAAAATAAAATATTCAGCAGAGAATTACACATTTTTAACAGACTTTAGAAAGTAATTTAGTTCAACCACTTCTTGTCTAGACAGTTCTAAATTCAAATCATTGAAAACAAGTAGAGAATTGTCTTTAAAATGTATAGGTTAGAGACTTCAAATTCTATAACCTATTTATTGTCCTAGACAGTTGATTAATTGTGTTATTGTAGAATTTTACTAGAAAGCCTGATCTCAACCTTCTGACATCCTAAGATAAAGAAACTATAGTAACATCCATTCTTTCTGAGGGAAATGAAATCAAAGCACTTTGGTTCAAATTTGGGAAGAGAAGGAAATGTTCTATATATGAAATTTTCATTGTTTTCCTCTGATTTTCTGGATATTCAAAATAAGTTTGCATGTTCTGTGTGGTTTGTTACATTTTCCAAAAATTCAACTGTTAGAATGGCATTATACCCCAAAGCACGGTGACATGTTCTTACCTAGATCAGAACAGTGCACCACTCTTGAGTAGCACTGGCATCCGAATGGACATGTTGGGAACAGATCGAATGGGAAAAAGGGGTTAATTGGCTCTCTTGTTGGAAAAAGAGAGTTGTCAGCATCAGTGTCATCATCATCTTCACCTTCCATGTCCTTCAGCATCATGTTCTTCAGGGTCATGTATGAAGGGCCAAAGAAGGGTTTGGCAGAGCACACAGCCAAGAAAACTAGGAGCAAACACTCCCTCATGTTGTCTTGTGTATAGGACGAGTCTGTGACTAAATAGATATTGAAGATTAAGTTAACAGTTAGACATACAATTCTGCACCTGTGCATTTCTTAGAAGTGTCATTCTTGTCCATTGCTAGTGTGAGAGTAAATTTATATAATGTTTTGGAAAGCAATTCAGCAGTATGTATTACAAACTTTAAAAAGATCCTTGTTTTTCATATGGTAATTACATTTTTTTGGAATCGAATCTCAGGAAATAATTCTAATGTGCATAAAGATTTTCATCATAGAATTATATATGATAGCAAAAAATTAAAGATAATGCTATGATTAAAGGGAAATAGTAAAATGAAATAAGGTATATTCCTGAAATACTTTGTAACCCATAAGATACTTGCATAGATGTTTTAAAATATGAAATATTATTTTTTGAAATGAAAAATATGAAAAATCTATACATACCAAACAAACAAAAACCCTGACACAAATAAACCTAATTGATGATAATCTCTGGGTGGTAGAATGATGGCTTCTGTGTCTTTTTTTAAAAATTTTTATAATGAGCAATAATTACAACTTTAAAAAAAAAAACATTTTTAGAGAGAGAGAAAGGGAGCAGGGGAGAGAGGGAAGCATCAATGTGAGAGCAACACGTCGATCAGCTTCCACCTGCATGCCCCTCCCTGGGGATCAGGGATAGAGCCCGCAGTTCGGGCAGGTGACCGGGAATCGAAACAGCAACTTTTCAGTGCACAGGATGATGCCCAACCAATGGAGCCGCGCCAGCCAGGGCAGTTAGTACAACTTTTATACTTCGGAAACTAATGAGTATTTTTAAGATAAAACCTGATTATCATAGCTGACTGTTCCCCATTCCTTCCATTGCCTTAATGTCTACGCCACTTTCAAAGAAAAATCCTCACGTCCCCTTGGCACAACATCTGGAAGTTTTCTTTAAACAGCCCTCTCCTCCCCAAGCTCACTTTCAGATTTGGTCACTTTTTCCACAGTGTCATTTGGGTTTCTTTCTTCTAATCTGTTCCATTGTCTAATACCTGATCCAAAGCATCTAGTTCCAGACTGTTCTTTCTTACTCATCTTTCCACTGCATACTGTTTATTTTGGGTGGGGGTCAGTTGTATTTTTTAAAGCTCACACAAAGCTGGAATGTATGAGTGATAACCTTCTGAGTATGGATTTGTTGTTAATATGATTGTAGATATTCCTACAGATGTGTTTACTTATCATGATGTCTTAACCATCACCTGTGAAACATACATTCTTTGTAATTTTCAAAAATTAAAAGCATTATGAAATCATCCAAAATAGATATATGCCAGTCTTCCCTCACTCACCCAGATGTCCCTTAGCCAGGCCACCCAGCAGTGCCACTGGCCTGTCATGCCCGAGCAACAGACAGCGCCGTGGCTGTCTGGCTTCCAGAAGCAGTCCTCTGGCCCGGCCTTTGAAAGACCTGGCCCCCGAGTCCTAGAGTCATGCAAGCTGCTTATAATTTCCCAGAACCCCAAATCAGCTTTAACATCTTTTTCTGGACTTAGGAATCAGAAGTGAATTAATTAAATTAAAACATTCATTTATATGTGATATATCTTCTAATCACCAGAGGAAGGTTAACGTTACTTAATTCTTAGAAATCTAAATGGCAGCTTGAACATTTTGCACGCCCTGGCCCCTGTGATAACCCACACTCAGTTGTGCTAGGAAAGAGGAGATTATAGGACATGTCAGAATGGCTATAGCTTTTTATATTTTAATAATCCTATTCTGAAGTCCCACTTCAGAACTCTGCTGTATTATGGAAGTATCAATTACAAATTTATTCTAGATGCATCTCTTACATTAATCAGGAGGAGTGGGATGTGCAGAGAGCTTCAGTGGCTTCCCCAAGGCCACACAACCAAAGAAAATTAGAACCTGAGTTAGAGTTCATGTATCCCAACCCATTTTCTGATTCAGCCTACGTGGAGCCCTCTACTTTTATCCCAAAGTCTAGTGGCCTCCCAGGCACATTCTGTCATTTGTTCCTCTCCAGTCAGTCTGCACATTGTTTTCTGGTAAACACGTGTACAGAAAGGGGCTCACTCACAGCTTGGGCTGGGAGAGCGGAAGTAGTTGTGTGGTCAGAGTCCTATGGTACAGAGAGAGACTGTGCTGGCAACTCAAAGCCCAGCAGCTTCGGTCAGCTGTCCCAGAGGACAAACAGGTTAGTGCTCTGTATCCCTGGGATCCTGGCGTGGGTGGCTGGGTAACTGGGCTTCTTTTCTGATATCAGTTTGTCTCTGGCACATTATTTCTGTTTCTTGGCTGCCTGCCTGACTCTTACCCATTATGTTTCTTGACCTTAGGCTTCTTTGTGGTTCCTGGCTCCTTAATGCTTGGTCCACAACTTTGCCTTGATCTCCAAAACTCTCAGCTAATTCCCTTCTTCGTCCTTAGCTAAACCAAAGCTTATCCCTGTTTCCAGTTTATTCTTTAACATTGTTTGCATTGCATCTGTGTCTTCTGGGGCCATAGCTGCCCTGACCTTGTCTGACCTTGGCATAGAAGCTGCTGAATGAAATGCCATTTCAGATCCTGTCTGTGGCTTTGTTTGAGGTTGCTGGAGCTTTTCAGTGGGCCTCTCTCAGGTACCCACTGTGTACCAGGCACAGTGCTGGGATGTAGGATCCGTGACGTGGAGCATTTCTGAGCACTCCTGATGTAGATCCCCTCCCTGTCCTCCTCCCTGTTCAGAAAACAGAACCACAGCCCCCACATACTCCTCTCAGGAAAGTGGGATTGTTGTCAAAGTTAGTACTTGGTCAGGTGAATTAATAGAAAAACTAAAAAATACATGTCCAAGTTAGTAAATAGAACTAAACTGCACATAGGCCGTGCTGTGTATACTGTGGCTCAGGCAGTGGGGAGGAGTCTCCAGATGTGTGGTTCTCAGACCCTGAAAGTAAAATTTTTCACCATAAGCCTGTATACTCTTCAAAAACCCTCAGCCTGCTATTTGAGTGGAAATGAAGACATTTATAAAAGATAAATGCACTTGAAAAAAGAGATTGATGTAGGAGCACAGGCCTGATAAAGAGGGACAGTGGGATTGTGAGTAAAGGATTGTGTTGCATTCTGAGTGTTTAAAACCATCCCGTCAACGAAGTGGTCTTTGCCCTGGTCCCCTGTACTGCTCCTTCTCCCCCCCTTTCCACAGCGTTAGACAGTACAATTAAAGGTTCCCACACCTGTGCCCCCAAAAGTCCAAGAACAGTGCCCACCGGGGAAGTTATTTGGGGCCACAATTTCTAGAGTGCTACCCTCATTTATTCTGATCCTTGAGAGTTTGGTTAAAAAAAATTTGTTTTTGAGTTGGTTGGTTGGTTGGTTGTTTGGGTTTCAGTGTTTTGTTTTTTGTTAATCCTAACCCAAAGATATTTTTTCCATTGATTTTTAGAGAGAGTGAGAGAGGGAGGGAGGGATGGAGTAGGGAGAGAAAGAAACATGGATGTGAGAGAGACACATCGATTGGTTGCCTCTTGCACGCATCCCTACCGGGGCTGGGAACAAACTTACAACCCAAGTATATGGCCTTGACCAGGAATTGAACCCACGACCGTTTGGTGCCTGGGCCAATGATCTAACCACTGAGCAACATCAGCCAGGGTGAGCTTTAGTATTTTCTTATAGAGATATAAGGGCTATAGTTTCCCAATCTAGAGCAGAGAACTCAACACTTAATATACCTGAAATAGACCTAAGAAAACCATAGAACTTTTTTTTTTTTTTTTTAATATATCTTTATTGATTTCAGAGAGAGGAAAGGAGAGGGAGGG